CCACACTGAACTCATTACAGGCAGCACTGCCCAATCGGAGGAGAGATGTGTCCCTCACCAACAGCTGCACAAGCCTGCAAGTGTCCAGGAGGGGGCCCTGTGTTCCTGAGAGCTGGTAGAGCCCTGGCTGACTAATCCCATGTTGCGCCTGGATGTGACCCAGGCATGAAGCCATAACCATTGAGTTCAACCTGTGCTTAGGTGAGCACCTTCACTGGATAAGACACGCAGAAGACCCCAAATTGTTTTTTAAGACTGGGCTCTCCACAGCTCCTAAGCCCACTCTGGAAAGAATGTGACATTCAGAGAATGAGACACAGGGACATGCTCCTCCAACGCATCCACCTGCTGAGCCATTCACTTTTTGACACTGTGAAGAGGAGGCGCACCAGCTATAGGAAAGGTGCGTCTCTCACCGCCCTATCTGCAATCAGCAGGCACCCAGAAAGTAATTGGAGTCACTATTTTGCCCAATAGCTGACGGAACTCTGGCAGGCTAGTCAGTCACCTGCGCAAAAACTTTCCAAATACCGGTCACAGTCACTAATGGAAAAACTCAGGTAAGAGCTTATGCCAAATGCACTGGGCTGCAGATCTCTCAACCTGCATGCTGAGCTCTGGTACAGGCGGAGCCATTTCGGCCCTCTGACTGCTTAGCTCGGCCCTCGGCCCTCTGACTGCTTGGCTCTGAAAGCCAAATTGGATACATAAGTCAACGTAAGTGAAAAGTACCTGCACAGGCTGCATTTGTCCCATCTTTGCCTTACAAATTAAGCAGTTATGCACAGAGCTAAGTAGTGGGACAACAGAACATGGCTCCCCACAGTGACGTTTCATGAAATGAATCATTTTTCTAGTGGACGTTTACAGTATTTCAATACCATTAAATTGGGGGGATTACAGCTACTCAAAAATGTTTGGAGTTAACCTGAATTCTGTTCTGTTAAAATGCCACAGTTAAAATGATCAATTAAGACACAAAAATTGTGGTGAGTTTGAGTAATGAAACCCTGACCTGTATTAAGAATCAATTTCCAACACACAAACAGAAAATAAACTTCTAGGTTCAGAATGCCAAATGGGAGCATTTGAAGTGCCTACAGTATATGGACTCTTAAATTACAACCATTCATCTATTATCGGAAAGCTGCTCATTCCTGGCCAGAGCAGCCTTAAGCCTGTCTCAGAATCACAGTGAGCAAGGCATGACTCTGTTCTGGACAGTGTGCCAGTCCATCACAAGACGCACAAACACACAAGAACACAGGGACAATTCAGAGACTTTAATTACTGCCTTGGAAGATATCTGTCACACTATGCAACTAAAGTTTGTTTATTTGTTTTCTTGTTAGCCAAAAACAAGTTTAAAAGCACAGCTGCTGATGATTAAGGCTATATCCCATAAGACATAAAGCAAGTCTCAACTTTTTATGTCTGCTGATTTGATTTTTGGATGTCTCTTTATCCATTTAGTATGCATTATTAACTTGAAATAAAAATACTATGAAATCTGAGTACACTTTTTTTCCAGACTGGCCTTCAGTTCCTTAAAGAGCAATGGTTGTTCCTGTTTTTTTCCATCCTGTGGCCTAGTAGTATTTTCTTCTTGCTGTTTTTGCTATAGGATTAGCAGTGTTGCTGAACTGGAACCCAGTAGATGAATTTGCATGCAATCACATTTAGAAAAGTTATTGCAAATTGTATCATGTGAGGTGAAGACTTAAGGAATGTGTTTCCTGTTTTAAGTTTCAGTACATTTGGTAATACTAAACATAGCACACCAAAGCGTAACCATCATGCTGTAGTTATATGGAAATGAAAATGCCAAAGTTTAAAAATCCCCTTGCTGTTGTATGTTTTACAACTTAGATTGATTCTGATATTTTAAGACATGGCTACTGTGTTACAGTGTAAGTGGAGAGAAGGGAGACATCACAAGCACAAAAGCACAAACTAATCATCTTCAAAAGGTTGACCATTTTAATTCTGATGTCCCTTATTTAGAAAATATTGAAAGATTTTCACAGAAATATCAGTGCTACATTTTGTACCTTTCTATTACAGACATAAATATAACAGAACAACTTTAACAAGACTTTCCCTTTGCAAATAAATTATATTTTGAGGTTTTTTAGTTTATCTCGAAGTATAATTTCCCAAGCTTTACTAGTAACAAGACTAATATTGACTACATTTTTATGGTTTAGTTTTGACCTCTCTTTCTTGGAATTTGTATTACTTGCAACTGCCCCACCTACGAGTACAGCTCCCATTCTAAATGAGAGCAGAAATATGCTAACCAGGCATCTATGGATAAAATCCCTCATTTCCTTAAGTATAAAGGGAAAACAACCATGAGGCTTTGGTGATTTGTTAGTTCTTAGCTGACCTATCCCTGTAGAACCTAAATATCAGTTATACTTAGATTACCCAAAACTGATGGAGCTCCTTCTATAATATAGGGTATGCCATTGATTATGTCTGTACAGTAATTCAACACAATTATCTCACTAAATATTTTACTATTTACAGTAATACTTTTACTGTTGCAGTACTGAAATAATACTTTGCCTTATATTTTGCCACAGTTGTACAATCCTGTCCGTCATCCTCTTGGTGATGTTGGTGGTGGATGGTGAGGGCTCTCCTCCTTTCAGTTTTTTCTTAGTTTCTCAATCAAACCATTTAGGCCGTATTTTCCTTCAACTTTTGTGCTATAAGAATGAATTTGCTTTGAACCTTTACAGTCAGCTTTTCAAAAATTATAATCACTAACTTTAAACTCAGACATTGAAGATTTAAAGTGAACTTTGAAAGCTACCATATTATTCTCACCATTTCCAAGTGGTTCTATGAAATCTATACCAGTACTATAATGTCATCTTTGCTACATTTCTTACTAATCTGTTTATACTTTAAACATTGTGCACCAATGTCTGCATTAGGTAGTCTATGGTATAGTATATGCCCTTTGATTAAACACTTTGATTTATTTTCCATTTGAACATAGAAAGATTTTACCTGAACCCTCTTGGTTAACATCTCTAGTTTGTAGTTTTATACTCCCAAACCAACATCCCTTTCATACAGTCTGTCTTCTCAAATTTGTATATTTTAATAATGTAAATTTTAAAATTGTCATCATTTTCTCCTCACCATGTTTCAGTTACTCCTATAATGTTGGAGTTCCCTGGTAATGTTGTGGCCTTGGATTCTGAGTTGTGTCTGGACATTTAATATCATTACATCTTTATAATAACACCTTTAAAATCAATACCCAAAAAAGAGATATGACAAAATAAACAAATTATCAGTCTGCATATGAACACAAAGCAACCACAAAACAAGTTCCCATAATACAAAGCTTCTGTGGGTGAGTCCCTGATTTCTGCTGGGATGGTATTCCAGAGCTCACAATGTCACCCTCAAAGTATAGTCGCAGACTAGAACACTTTGTACACCAGAATCAGCTGAAGGTTGTGTAGAGGGAAGTAAAAAGATAACATATCAGCAAGATACTGGCAAGTTGTACCATTTATATCCTTGAAAGTAAGCAGAAGACATGAATTAGTTAAGCTTCTTCTTAATTCTACCTTGGATTTTCCTGATCCCACCAGCATTGGTCTATTGTGACCTCCCTGTTCCCCCATTTACAAACTCCTCAACGACTCTACACAAATGCTTCCATATCATACCAGTCCGCCTCTAGTTCAAGTGCATCCTGTCCTGTTCAGACAGAACAACCCCCATTAACCATTAATATGTTAAATCTTATATTTCCCCTAGATTCCCTCGACATGCACAAAGCACTGGTAGATTTCTTGAAAAGTCCACTTCTGTAAATCCTGGTTCTAAGCTAAAGAGCTAAATCCTTCAGTGTGTCTTGGAAAGACACTGATTTACCTGCTCCTACTGTGTCATTTGTTCCAGTAAGGAGCAGATGTTCCAGTGCCTGTCTGGTCACTGGGGGAGGTCTGTAACCTGGGCACTAGGGAAACAGCACTAGACACCCTACCACTTGAGCTCCCTGGGGCCCTGTCATCTTCCAGTTTGGGAAGCATTTGAACACAACAGTCTCTTTGAAATACACACACTGCATATTTCAAAGGCAAGGAATCCTGTAGGATTAGGCTACTTTTATTGAATAGAAGCTGCTACAGAATCTGTCTTACAGTTGAGTGCCAAGACTGTCAGTATAGTGACTGCTGAACAGAAGATGTGGAGGTGGACATACAGTAGTATTAATAACTGTTCCACATGCCCAGACAAGATTCACTACAGATCTACCTTCTCTCTACAAATATGTGCTGTAGGAGAGTAAGGAGAAAGCATGAAGAAATCCTAATTCTCTTTTTTTCCTAGAGTGCAGCTTCATGCAAAAAAGCCTGCCCTCCAATCACTCCAGCCTTTCGCAGTAGAAATATATTTTGTAATTCCGAATAATTTTAAAACCTAGGAAAATGAAGAATGGTTCATTCAAAAAGGAAAATAATTTACAAACCAATATTCACTCGGGTTCTGTAAAATAAGCCAAAGCTGTGAAAGTACTCGCCTAAAAACCATCAGCAGACTGGCCATTGTCACTAAAATGACATTCAAATAGTGATTTGAAAGCTGTATTATGTCATCTGGATGTTTTTTGAGGTGCAGCATAAAAAATATTCTCAGATATTCAGAATTCATAAAGAAATTCGGAGAGAGTTTTTTTTTCCCAATCAAAGGCGGCGTGCAGTCTTAGATGAAGACGAACAGAAAACCATCAAAGTCATAGCACGGAATGCCGAGATAAAATTAACGTTTTGTAGGCTGTGCACCCTTACTGGAGGCGACGTTGGTTCTAGGATTCTTTATCTTGCGACATTCAACTTTTATTGTATAGTCACACACGCAAAACCTCGTCAAGCCACCCGAGAATCTACAGCCAAGTCCAGCTCAGAGGCGGGACAGAACGCGTCGGGGGCGGGGGCTCCTGCTCACAATAAGGAAAGTAAATTGCAGGGCGCACGTCACTCGGCCAAGGGGAAGAAGCAGAGTAGAACTCTGCTTCTTCTAGAGGAAATTGTCCGAGTGTCTGTGTGTGCGATTTGCAAAAACCAAAGAAAAGGCAGATTTTTACTTGTTCAAAAAGCAGGGACCTGCAAAAAGCGAAGCACCATGAAGCATTTCTGTGGACTGAGGAACTCGTCTTTCTGGGTAAGACGCAATAGCTAACTTGACTGTAACACAAATTACGACGTGAAAGGTTATAATTAAACACTGTACTTCACCACGGGCTTGTGGAATATTGTTTGCTTATCAGCTGCTTCCGTTGCACACAAAACGAAGCAAGCACCCCACGCGCGACCCCTGAAGTCATGCACTGAAGTCAACACGCAGTGCACATGCAGCAGTGCAAGATTTATCATTTTTCTGCGCATCAAAACATCGCCTGGTGTATGTCCACACCTAGGCTATCAGAAAACGCGGATCAAGTCGCGTGGGTGTTAGATGCAATGTTTTAAATGGCTGGGTAACAGTTCTTTATGGCTGGATTTGGGAAAAATGCTTAAGTTGCCGGAACCCAAACTTTGCGAAGAGTGTAGTAAAACTAAAATATCGTCGTTTCGCCTTCATAAGAATTAGCAAGATGCTTGACGTCGCGTACTGCTTTGAGTTTTCCCTGAAAGGTTTGCAAGCTGCAGTGATGTACTTTATCAGTCCCTTCCGCGGTATCTGTGATTTGCTCTGCGTGGGGCATCGCAGCGCTGGAGCGAATGGTGCAATACAGGTGCGCCGAAGTGGGCGCAGGATTGTCTGCAAAACATACTGTACCCCCTTTCGAGCCAAGGTGTGGTACAGGTAGCAGGGACAGCACTGGTGCAGCTTACCAAATTTTACAATAAAGCGCAGTTATTGAAGTCCTGTTGTACAAGCGAGCGACAGAGACTTGGCTAAGTACTGTCCGTGCAAGGCGACCAGCCGCGAGAGTGCTTCACGGTAACACTCGGTGACATTATCTCTACAGATATTTCACCTAACGACAGTGGATTAGTTTTAGTCGTCGGAAAAATAACGCACAGTAAGAAACTTAGTATTTTGTTGAAATTGTTTCACAGGTTATTGACTTTTTGGCCAACACACAGGCAAAGAAAAACTTATAAAGTGATTTAGAAAAGTGAGCTCTGGAAAGGAACAAGTCCAAAAGTAAAAGACAAGACACTGCGCAGAACCTAAGCACGCTATTTTTTTTACTGCTTATGCCGCCGAGGAAGTTTAGAATTGAAGGGGTTATTCTACCCTGCTGATCTCCTCGCTTCCCTCCTGTCAATTGTCTATAATTTAAACCCTTTTAACTCTCATCCACTACAAAGTTATCTAAGGTAAGACACCTGAATTGACATTCAATTCGTCATGGTATGTCTGAGGCCTCACATCATGTGTTCTTTTGTTGCAGAATGAGAGAGAGAGTATAAATCTGAGCAGTTTGCCCATAAAGTTGTTCTTGTGTGTTAGCAGTGTCTCAAAAATGTCACCACAAATCTGGTGAAGCTTGTCAACTGTGATGGAGCTCAAAAGCAGAAAGTAACAATAATTTGTTTATGGAATTTTTTCGGATGAGAGCAAGAGTTTCTATAAGCTTACTTTACTTCTCTTAGAGAGGTACTGACTGGAGATCTAATGTTTAATTTGGACCACCCTGCCATCTTCCTTACAGTGCTGTACACTCGATAGGCTGTGCTCTGTAATCCACTTAGGCATGGACAGGGGTTGGAACCAGTGAGAAGCAGATTAGTCAGAATTGGGGAACTTGGTGTGATGATGAGAACTGAGATCAGAAGGCACTTCTTGACACAAAGGGTTTTGGGAGTGTAGTTGAGGCTGATACCCTTGCTTCTTTCAAGAATCACCTGGGTGAGATTCTTGAAATCAAGAAGTTAATAACTAACAGATGCGCCAGATTTTATAACTATTCTTTTCAGAACATTTTTCAGATGAACAGCCCTGTTGGGACCACATTTCCCAGAAACCTCTGCTGCTTTCAGTCACCTGGCCAGTTGCAGGAAGACACTTGGCCAGATGACTGCTTAAAAAGTAGGAAACAGAGGTTTCTGGTGTTAGTATGTCAGTGTATATCTGCTGTTTGAAGGCCAGACGGTAGAACCCCTCTGTGTGCCTTTCAGAGGAGGAAAAAAAGACTGAAGATGAATGAATTTGTGAGTTTTAGGGAAATAAATTTGTGAGTTTTTGGAACTTTCAAAAGGGTTGTTTGTGAAGACTACAGTACTTATGAGAGTTGTGGAGAGAAACTCAGGTATGAATAATTAGAAATTTTGAGAACAGTCTCAGGGGAAACTGCAAAGTTATTTGTTGAGGCTTGTAAGCTGTTTAGCCACTGTTTGGCTGGGAAATTTAGGGACTTCAAGAAAAAGTAGAAAGGCTTTAATTTTGGTGTTTGGTAGTGATGTATTTTTTATTTTCCCTGCACTGTGGAGCAAAACGTGCATGTTTGGTGTGTCCATGGCTTGGACCCGCCTATTTTAAAAATCCCATTGCTTCAAGCTGTCACAAAAAAAAACTGACGTTTAATAGATGGCTCAGATCTAATAGTGGCACACCTCGAATGAATGGAACTTCTTTAAAGCTGCTGTATCTCACATTTCTTTTCTGTTTCGAATGAAAGAACAAGTCTTTCTGTTATTATTTGTCGACTTGGCTGACCTCTTTATTCAAAGCAACCTGCATATATACAGTACAGCTGGGTAATGTACTGACACAATCTGAGTGAAAAACCTTGTTCAAGGGTACAAGAGATGTGCTATAACCAGGATTTGAATCTGCAATCCTCCGGCTAAAAGTTTATTGCCCTCACCATTCCTCAACATTGGTGCCTATATTAATATTTCTTAATATGATATTTATAACTTTTATATTCTTATAATGATAGGAGTTCAGAAGGAAAAAAAACTCCAGAGACAGAAAAGGCTTTTCTACATGCTTATAGACAATGTTTAGGTATGTGCAACAACTTGTTATAAATAAACTTTTTATTCCGTCTTAATACAATTAATAGCAATGTCTTAAAATCTTTGTGCAAATGTGTTTGTCTCTAATGCAGGGTATCAAGGTGTCTGATAATTGTTGAGTGAACCTGTGGGTACAGTGAAAGGAAAGCCATGAAGTAGTTCTAACAAAAATGGCAAATTAATTAAGGCTTTGAAAAAAGCAGGATGATGAATAACACATAGTGATTGGGAAATGTAGTGGGTGGACAGTGAGTCTGACAATGTGCTTTTGTCTAAATTGCATTAAGTTCAAACAGCAACTGATGTGTAGCTGACATATGGTGTTTACCTGGTGTTACCACAGGGGATAAAAGGGTACAGCAGACAGATGTCACTTTGCTTTCCCACCTGCTTTGTATGATAAAAAGAAGGCCTCTTCCTGGACCCTAGCCTCTGTCTGCCGGTAGATGCTGATGTTGGGGATGTTTCACAGGGTCTTCACTAGTCCACTATCATTGACCCTTTCACTGGGCTGAAAAGCAGCAGGAGTTCAGCTGTACGGTGGGCCTTTTCCTCGAGTTTGCTTAATTATTGCTCAATAAGGCCTGGCAGTGCCAAGCCTGTTTAGCTCAGTCTTCCAGTGGGCACAAAGACTTTTCTACAGCTACTCGTAATCAAAGTTAGTACTAATTATAAGCTAATGAGGAACAATTAGGTTAGCATGGAGACACAGTGGTTAGCATTGTGGCCTCAGCGTAAAGACCATAATTCTGGACCTGGGGTGCTGTGTGCATGAAGTCTGTATGTTCTCCCCGTGTTCATGTGGGTTTCCTCTGGGTAATCTGGTTCCCTCCCACATTCCAAAGACATGCTGTTAGGTTAAGTGGCCTCATGGGAAAATGGGCCCTGATGTGAGTGTATGTGAGTGGATGAATAACTGCCCTGTAATGGACTGGTTAACCACTGTACCTGCAAGTGGTACCGCACTGCAGCACCGTGACACTTTTACTGCACAGGTAAGATGGTGAAAACCTGTTTTTTTACTGTTTATGCACCTCACAGATCCCCCACTTAACATCCCTCTATTGTCACCAGGCCTTATCTAATATGAGGAAACCCAGGTGAAGATGCGGAGAACCTATAAAATCCAAGCAGGCAGCACCTGAATAGAAACCCACGCACTGAGGCAGCAATGTTAACTACTGCGGCACTGTGCTGCCCTTATATATTGCACTCTGTCCAGGTTGTTATGAAACGGTGACTAAGAGGTGACCTGTAAGACCTGCTGTGGGCCACCAGTGGACTAAATCATGATTCCAAACCTTATAGCTAGCTGGTGAAGACAACCCTAGCGTGCAGGAATGGAGTCATGCTTCCAGCAGTGGATGGCAGTATAAAAGTGATCACATTGCAGTGATTCAGAGTGGGAATGTAGCCCGAGATGTTTAACATAGCATCCCTGAAGGTTTCTTTATCTGTCTCAGAAACTCTGTCAAGTTTCAAGATGTACAGTGTATCTTGGATTACAGAGTGATATGGAAATTGATAAATGCATTCACATGGAGGATAAGCAGGTAATGGAGTAATGAATTAGCAATGTTATTTCTCTTTTATTACAGTAATGCATTAAAAAAAACTGATTGTGCATTTACATGCCACGGTGATTACCGTAACATGTACCTCAGTTCAATGCTTGATGCCACAATTACCATATCCTGGTGAATGTGGTGCTGATAGTTTCAAAATTCAGCCTGGTTACCAGTTACCAGTAAAAGGAATGAAGCAATTCTCTCAGCTTGACATGAGGATTGCTTCAGTCCCTGTCTGGGTGTTTCTGATATTATGGATGAATAACCTTTTGTGCACCCGCTGGAGAGACCTATCTGTTCCCTGTAAACAAATTATGCTGCTGGTATTAGTCACGACCGCTGTAACATTGTTTAGTTCTCTCTACGGTTTACTCTATCCCATCCCATTTCTCTTGGCAGGAAATGCACGGAATGTGCCTACAGTCTGACTGAGTTAAATACTGTGTGATTCAATTTTTTTGGAGTGCTTGTCGATTAGAGTTGGTACTGCCATTTTTCCTGCTGCAGGGGTCATGCGAGGTAACAGTTAGCAAATCTGTGAGCCGATCTCAGACTGCCAGAGCCCCAGTTTAAGACCCCGCTGTATTAATGGAATTACACTGCCTGTCTGAACAGTACATGC